GGGATCCACAAGATGCAATGACATACTGAAACCTAGGAACCATGCTTACAATAAGCTTAGATATTAAAACCAAATTTGATCCCACATCATAGTTTTCTGCTGAATCCATGATTTGATCCTTAGCAAGGTGTGACTAGTATATATATTTCATGCGCGATTTATGGACATGATGAAGTGGAAACAAATGTGATCTATTATACACGTGTAGCCAAACAATCACGCTGAGACATACAACACAGCATGTCGGATGAACACATATGTCGCAACCATTGGTGCAGTTTGAATTTGAAAAGAATAGTTTACAACAATTAAAAATAGATCTGAAACTACATTTCAATAAAAAATGCGTTATTTGTGTGCTTGAAAACATTTGAAATTTAAATTCTTTTTATATTCTTCTTTCCTGAACATATTATGAGCATTATTATAAAGTTCCTACCTTTGATCGGATATCAAAAGACCTTCTCTGATGTCAACATTCATAATCCTACATTCTGTGATGAGATCAGTGCCAGAAACGATAGTGTCTCAAACTCCCCTTTTTCTGGTAGGCCATTTTCTAATCGCTCAATGTAGGCCACGGGTATCATCCAACTCCACTACAAATATTTGCTGAAAATGTCATGGCCCTCTAGACTGTGTCAACATGGATGTTTAAGGGATGGTGGCTTGACAAGCACAGCTAGCGTCACTGTGTCACCTTGAAAGGAAATCCGAACTCCAGCTCTATCCACCTTTCTCCAACCGATTGCGAAAGATGTTTATTTGAACAATATCGACAGCAGTTGATGCCCTCTTTCAGTATTGAGGCACGCTGCGGGGATGAATCAGTGAATTCAGCATTTACATTATGTAGGTTTCATGACATCAATAGCTAATAATAAATTGATAATTTGTATTTTTAGCTGATATTTACATACAAAATGGTATGAGTGAGGTTTAATGCCGTGTTTTGCAATATTTGAACAAAATCACAGCGGGGTACACCAGAAATGTACTTCATACTTCGTACTCATATGGGGAGTCGAACGCGGGTCTTCAGCGTTACGAGTGGTTGCTTTAACCATCAGACCACCCTGCCGTCCCTTTACAATTACATATAAGAAATCGCGTCCTGGTTTTGGCTTAAGGCACAACTGTGGATTTACACAGAGTTATCTATGTTCACCTGCTTATCTTGCATTATGTGAATTCCCGGACTTATATTAGCGGAGCGGTGAGCTAGCCTAATGGGTAAAATGTTCACCCGTTATGCCGAAGAAATGGATTCGATTCCCCACATGGGCGCAATGTCTGAAGTCTATTCCTGGTGTCCCCGTCCGTAATATTGCCGAAATATTGTCAAAAGTGGACTAAAGCGATACTCACTTACTCAATGTTAGCATAATTTATTATTCAACAGGTAATGATGGTGATGACGGTGATGGTGATGATCATGAACTTTGCATCACTATTAAAAATTGATAATACCTGTTCACGAAAGGAAAGTATCCTGTTCCATCTGTGGTTTTGGTCAAAAATATAACATTACATCACCATGTATAACTATAGAATAAATACCATATTTCCCTAATGGCCTCTATAGTAACGCTACATTTTATTATTTTAAACTTTGAGTCCCCAATAGCTATTACATGCACATGTACATGCTTAAGTCATCATGTTTAAGAAAGGAAACACCAAATATTGAAAAATATGGTAAGTTTTACTTATTGTGATGGATATACATTTGTAAAACACCAAGGTCTTACACAAAATCATCCAATCACGACTGTCAGATGATTCAGTCTGTGTTGAAGGCTACAATACTACTTGTTAAACTACTGACTCTGATTAGCTTAATCTATATGAATGCCCTGGAATTCTCGCGAGGCGCTACTTCCGGTATTAAACTTGTTCCCTGCTCCCTTTGCGCGCGCCAACTTGCGACATGGGAGACGGGGACCAGCTCACTTCCGGTACAAGATTTCCGGTAACAAGCGTATATTCAAAAAGCAGTTCTGGTTCCAAATTGCGCGACCGCTTAATATAACTTTATTAGACCGGACCAAGTGTACGTTGTTTGTTACCGGGAGTGTCAAGGTCTCGTGACCTTCTTACGGGCCAGTAGGAACTGTAATAATCAGCTGTACTATCCCCAAAAAGAAACGCATAGGCCAGAAATCTGTTGGGAAAATGTTGTGTTTTCAAACGTGTATAACTCGTCCACAAATAGACTTTAGTGTATGTTTTTTTAAATCAGTTTAGAACAAGGAAATGTCTATACTACCAAGTGGATAATTTTGGACAACTGAGACGTTGAGCGCGATGGTGACGGCGTAGCACGGTCCCGAAGTCGGGTCTCCTGGCTCTCAGTCCAATCTCTCTTAACCTGTTCCGTACAGTTTGACTGGATATCCTCGGAAGTTCAGGCACCCTGGCTGCTGTGCTCTCACCCGTGGCAGTACGAACACGCAAATGTAGTACCCGGATGTACCGATCTTGGGCTGCAGTGTTGACTCGAGGTCTGCCTGTACGGGGACGGTCATTTGTTATAGCTGCATGGTTGTAACGAGCTGCAAGCAGTGATATCGTGCTCAGACCAACATTCAGACGCCTGGCGATAGAATATCCGTAATCTCCAGCGTGCACATGTTCATGCGATGTTCGTGTTTTAATGGCGAGTGATTTGACCTTGAAACTCCTTCGATTAGCCAGACAGTGCATGATCTTTGTTGGCTGGAAGGTGACTTTTGTTGCGTTGTTTGACCTGTGAAACTCATCAAAATCACCATTTTCAGGCCGATTTTAACTTGTGCAAGTGTAAAATCATGTTATCAACAATATTTTGACGATTGTTTGAACACAATAGGTAATTAGAGATGCATGCTTTTATTGTATATTATACTATTGATCACATAATTATCTCAAAGGATTGCCCAACGCATGTGTTTAAATGACCTATCGCATTTTGATGCGAATTCGTTTAATCGATTCGATGCGTTTTTAAGTTGTTCCTGGTCACGAGCGAGACAAGTAAATAATCATAATAAATTTGTATGGCGCCGTATCCACCATTTTCATGGCGTAAACCTGCGCAATTTTCACTCGTATATTTCCTGAATAGATGCAATTGTAAAGGGATGTTGTTTTGATGGTTATGGGAAGACTGTTCACAGTGAAGGACAGTATAGCTTGATCGTTACCATAGTTCTTGAGATGGACAGGGATAGTGTTGAGAAACTGTTGGTGTGATCTCAGCTGTCGTGGTGGTGTGTACACTGAGATGAGTTCAGAGAGGTACTGAGGCGCTAGGTCATGTAGACATTGGAACACAATGGTCAAGATCTTGAATTCGATTCTGGCTTACATCTGAATGTTAATTTTTAACTGATTGAAGCACGGGTGTTGGATCGTTATAAGGAGTACCAGAGTTAGGTAATTTGCCAATACCGAGAACATCAGGCGACAAGAAAAACAAAGTGAGAGTTATCTCCCTTCCATCGATTTGCATTCGCAAAACGTCGGTAATTTCCGTACATCATACGTGGCTCAATTATTCCAAATTACCAGCACAAAGTACCAAATGAATTCCCACAGTTCGGCATTCCTAGCGGGTAACATAGAAAATGTTATTCCTTTGTAAGCGCGGTACATTGATAATAATAGAAGAGCGCCAATCAGAAAACGACATTTATGAGTGATGTAAGATAAATAGCAATAATATATTTTGAGCAATCTATTCCGTTTTCGCTTTATATATATATAACAATTTCCATCAAAAGTTATGATAGATGTATCTCCAAGCATAACACGTCTGGGCAAAAGAATACACAGGCATTACTATTCAGGCATTACTATCCTCAGAAATTCATTTGTTATTTAAGAACAAAATAAAAAATCATGCAAAAGGATCTGTAAAACTCAGTGTAGACATTTACACACCATTGAGCATAAGTATCAATACGGCAATATCATGACGGGAGACAACAAACAACTTTACACACAATGTTGAAGCCCATTTCTGGTGTCCCCGCCGTGATATTGATAGGCGACTGTACGAATATAGAAACCACTTGGCTATCACATCGCCCATTATAAACTATAATACTAATCCCACTGAAGCGAATTCATTCGAATTCGACGTTTACACAATGAACAGTATTAGAAATTAAATGCCAAAATGTGACATAATATTCCTATATAATATTGCTAAGAAATGCAAACGAACCCTGAAATTATGTGGCGTACGTCAATCTGATGTTTGATATGACGTGTGTCAATGTGCAGTTGCCCGTTAGTTGGCGTCCAAATCACAGATCGTTGAGTCGAATCCACAGTTTGCTCCGGGTGTGATCGATGATTATTGTGATTATTACTTTGTTTGGCCCAATCTGGGTTTTTTTAAAAAACAAAACAACTTATATCTACTAAGAATATCAATGAATTAAACAATCTAGCAAAATATATAAATATTTTCAAAAACTCCTGATTTGAATTTGATTGCACGATAATTGATCGTAATTGTATGTATACTGTAGATCATTTAAGACAATTTCTTTAATCATGATGTGTTTCCTTAAATTTTATTACACTGCACTATGTTTTTTGTTGGCCTTTATTTGTTTTGTTTTTAGTTTGTTTTGTTTGTTTTAACCTATCTTTTACTTTTTTACCTTTTTCCATCTTGTAACTTATCTTTTTATGATATAATACTATAGCTCATGAACCACAGTTGGTGGCGTTGTTGAGTTAAATAAAGACCTTGAACTTGTCAGTATCATATGACCACAATGATGTGAACTGACTTCCACAACGAAGTGCATGTCAATGACCTGTCATCTCGATGGGCTTGTTTTCCACAAGACTCTGAGAGTCTGCTAAACACGGGAAATACAGATGAGAGTTGTGGTCAACCCACTCACTTACTCGTGTTGTCCTCTAACTAAAACCATTACTTCATCCATTGATGAAGATAAGTTGGCTCTCAAAATATGTTATGTCATCTTCTTGTATTCCAGTCCGTCTCAGCAGCGCAATGGCGAAGGTCAGGGAGCAGAACGGAGGAGCATCCATAGAAGACCACGATGTGGATAGGAAGATAAAGAACAAGCTACCAATAGATCGCGGCTGGGCATGGGTCATTGTTGGAGGTGCGTTGGTACTGAATACATTACATTTGATACATTTTCAACAGGCCCTGTTGTGCCAAAAAGAGAAAGAGGTTATACTCTGGTCTCAATAGTTTAACCTTGTACTGCAATATACTGATGTTGTTTATCGAAATGTCAGTTTTCGAAACCGCATCATGGGTGGTTACTGTTGGGAAAGGGAGGTCACTCAAATGGCACCCTAGAGCTATCACCATAAATTTCGTATTTGCGCAAGATGGCGTCAGCCCATGCTGACTATTGTATTATTATGTGATGATAGTACTCAAAACGTTCGTCATATGCATTCTAAATCTGTCATACAAAATAGCGATTGATACAGCCTTTAAATTGTTGGTGTTCCAAAACTGATGAGTAGAATATTATTGTTACATTTGTTTGGATAAATTAGGGAGATCAACAGACTCCTTGATCAAGTGCATGAAAATATTCAATTTTCATCTTTCCGTCCGTAACCTCCGTAACAAAACAAATATAGTTTTGCTAATTAATCTAAAAGGTCGAGAAAATGAGTTTTCTGAATTGAGATTGCTGAAAATGGGCCGACATTCCAGTGATCAGTTGTTTTGTTTCATCAGTAACATCGACTCTTCCCATAGGTATCGAGCAGCATTTTGATTTCTCGATTTGTTCTTTTGATAAGATTTCAAGAGGAAATTTTTTATGGATAGACAATTTCTTTATTGCAATAGATGCGACGTTTCGGTGTAGATTCTAACGCCGTTATCAAGCAGATGATACGATTTGGTTTGGTTTGGTTGTTGTTTAACGCCGCATTCAGCAATATTCCAGCTATATGGCGGCGGTGTGTAAATAATCGAGTCTGGACCAGACAATCCAGTGATCAACAACATGAGCATCGATCCACGCAATTCGGATACGATGACATGTGTCAACCAAGTCAGCGAGCCTGACCAGCCGATTCCGTTAGTCGCCTCTTACGACAAGCATGGGTTGCTAGGGACCAATTCTTAGCCTTTCTTCATGGGGCTTTAGATAAGATATGCCTTAAAAATTTGTCAGTTTGACATGAGGTCCACGATAGGTGAACAAAATCTATGACGTTTACATAGTGTCACCAGCTGATCGCTCACGTTCAATGCAAAACCAGTCACAATGGGAAAATTGATTAAAATTCAATTTCGAGAGGCCACCTTGTACACCTTTCTCAAAACAACAAATTAATTGAATCTTAGAATCCACATGAACAAGAAATCTATATATAAACCTGAATATATATATATCGGTCGCGAAACAAGGCGACAATCTAATTCCCTTCTGGAAACTGTTCAATTAAAGTAAACTGTTCAAACATCCACAGCCTGATTTGCGATGTTCGTCTATGTGAATTCTCTTTTAGTTTCGAAGTGTTGTACGTTCCAACGCAATTTAAACAAAGATTACCTTACATTAAATTGACAAAATAGTAGTCCGTAATTATCGTCTTTTGGCGCAGTATATAGCCGAGACGCAACGTGTTGTTTGGAGTTTCGGCCCACTTTGCACTAAGCCAAGCAGAGTTAGCTCCCTTCTCAGAGTAACACCTGCTGCGGTCTCGCCGTCGAGTTCCTTATTCGTCTTTTATACAGACCCGATACACAAATAACCGAAAACTCCCACAAGTCTACTATACTTTAATTGTTGCCAGTTTCTGGTATTTCAGTTCTCATTTCTTTTCTGTATTTATCAACAATTTGTCTTTTATGTATATATTTATCAGTCCTCGATGATCGAAATCCGTTCGTATTTATTTCCATCATAGACCTACATTATATTTTCATACGTTGGTTGGTATGTTGATTGATGCATATCTCAACATATTTCCGGAAAGTGTACCCTACTATTATCCCCTACATGTCCACATCCGGTTGAAACGTCATTTCCGACCACAATGCACCATGGGTGTTTCACGTGTCTTCGTTTGGAAACCATAGCGAGTGAGTGAGTGGGTTGGGTTTTACGCCGCTTGTAGCAATATTCCAGCAATATCACGGCAGGGGACACCAGAAAGGGGTTTCACACATTGTACCCATGTGGGGAATCGAACCCGGGTCTTCGGCGTGACGAGCGAACGCTTTAACCACTAGGCTACCCTACCGTCCCTGGAAACCATAGCAAGAGCTGCAGATAATGTGATAGCTCGTGGGAACGTACATTCGACATTATCTCAGAATTATATTATAACCACCCTAATGCTGACTTTATGGTTATTTCAGGTTAAGAGAATATCTATCCGATGACCTATAACTGTCAACCGGAAAGCCCTTACAAATCGAGAGGGGTGTCGAAAAAAACAATAACAATATTCTATCCACGGAAAGAGCGAAAGGGAAAGGGTAATAGCCTCAACTCAATGTAAATGGGACTCAGTCGACGCCCATACATTGAAACTGGTCAGAGTGTGCGCAGAAAACACCTCCATGTTCCAAATACATTTCCCTACTGTTGTTTCATTTAACTGCTATTTTGGCCATTTTTAAGGGATTCATCATATCATATCATGATGTTGATCACTGAATTGTCTGGCCCAGACTCGATTATTTACAGACCGCCGCCATATAGCTGGAATATTGCTGAATGGGGCGTTAAACAATCAACCAGCCAACCAACAACCAACATATTCCGTAAATTTCTAAACTATTTGTAACAAACCTATGGAGACCCTATGATTACAATTTAAAGCAAAGTTGCACACCAATATGGGCAAATTTGCTGGAGATATTAGTCGAAGCGGTCATAAAATGTAGTATTTTTGGCTGCGGCAATTATCAGGTTGGGTAAAATGAGAATATGATCCTTAGACACCCAAACCAACGAGAATTGTACTGGTTGTCTTGCTTACTTACGCTTTAAATACAGTTAAGTTTTAGAGAACAGTTTTGTGTATTGTCCGTCATATAAGTACTGTACTGAGTAGGACTGTGTATTGGCAAATAAATTGTATTGCAATATATTGCGATTCTGGTACCCTGTTGCGATACGTATTTGCGATATATTTGGAACTTAAGTGTTTACCAGTAAGTGACACTAATTGTACATGTCGATCCTATTTTCTACATTGTAAGTCCCTAAACATACATGTTATGATAACAACAATCTCAAAATTAGGTTGCATAATCCTAGATTCTATTTTATTTTTTATACAAATTATTTCATTACAATATGCCGTTTCGTGATTGAATAACGACGGAAAATATTTGTTGTGAATGAAAGTGTGTAGATTTCAAATTCAACCATAAAGATAATCACAAAATGTTCATATTTGTACTTTACCCAATATACCGGTCCTCAGAAAAAGATACGTACCGTTTGAAAAGCGTATTGCAATATACCGGTATACCGGTAATACCGTGCAGTAATAGTAATGGTGTCATTCTTAAATGTTGCAGTAGACAACATATTCTAATGTAGAACCAGTGGTATCTTAACAACGCTAATAGGCACATTAATATACTTCGTCCCAAGTCAATGATTGTTCTCTCGGACAATGACAGCTGAAATGGTTTGTACTTCGTCCCAACAGTAGTTACCGTGTTTGACGAGTTAGACAATTATTTATATATACGGAACATAATTGAGAAACTGAGAGAGTTCATGAACACGGACTTTGATATAGAAGCAATGGTACCCTGAAGTGTCAACTCGATAAGAGAGAGACATATTGTACGTTTAGATGATGACACTCGAAAGGGACGAATATCTCTCCGCCTTTGAAAATTGTACACCCTTTCTCACCAGAGCAATATTATGTCGTTGAAAAGTACATATGTTAACGCTAGCCTACCGACAGTGTGTGTTAATGTCCACGTTTAAGGCACATATTGGCGTCATGTATATCTTAAAGACATTCATGAGAGTGAAGCCGATGTCAGCACATTTCTACAGCTACACAGTTAGAAGATCCATACGTATTTCTAATTTGGGGTCTTGCAGTCTGTGTGACACAGATGAAATTCATACATTCTTTTTCAGTGTGGTATATCTGATCCAGTGGTGTATCAGATGTATGTACTGACTTCACCGCCATTGTTTTCTATATTTAAACAGCTACATTCTGCATCAACCTGATTCAAGTTGGCATGTACCGGTCGTTTGGCATCCTTTTCGTGGAGTTCCTGAAGGAATTCAAAGCGTCAACATCTGTGACGTCATTAATCATGGGGATCTACTCTGCGTCTTATAGTCTAACAGGTTTGTGCGAATTACACAGGGACTGTGGCCCATCTAAACTGAAAGAAATAGTTTAACGTAGTACAGAGCCTTGCACTTGCATGTGTTCAGTAATAAATATCATTCATTTCACAGTCATAAAATGTGAAAAAAAAATTTTTATTAGACATCGCGCGCTCAATATGTAATGCTATAGTTGGCAGAAATATACAATAATGACCAAAGCAGTTTTCTGTTGCATATTGTTGCTCCGTACTGCATAATTGGCTATTTATTTGTGATGTAAACATATGCCATCGATTTTTTGTGTTAACGTTTTGGATTTCTAGATTGCAATAATGAATAAATAAGTGAATTTATTTATTTCCTCCAGAGTTGAATCGAAAGATGTATTGGTCAATACATTATTTACAACATATTACTTGCATTACTTCAGCACATATAATGGAATTATGTGATTTGCTATGTTTTTCTTCAATAAATAATTCACAATGTACACGTATGTGTGCAACTTTAAATGGGATAAATGCATTGAGTATTGTTGGTTTTCGTCCTTTGAAGCGAACCTGGTGTATAGACCTCGTTACATACCCCTTTCCTTTATATAGTACTAAGACCCCGTCAGTGAAAACAAAATCACAGCAAATATATGGCAATCATGATGCAAACGGTTATTATGTCGAGCGACGCTATTTTTTAGCGTTAAACAAGCAGGGTTGTGTTCCCATGATCGGGAATCGAACTGTCTTGCCAGGTCTTCGGCGTGACGAACACCCCGGCTACGCATGGGAAGCTGTTATAATATCTTTCATTTCAGGTTGAAATGACACACTGTTGAAACTGTTCAATATTGTGTTATTGGCTTTATTTAGAATGTTTCAGGAACATTAACACGTGGCACCCATGTGCACATGCGTTGCACAGGCAATGTTGATGATCAGTAGCATTGACTCCATTAGGTTTCGTCTTGCTTTGTTTGTTCTCCGAAAGAATGGCGAAGTTTGTTGCATGTCGCTTGTCTGACTTGAGAAATCCAAACTGACGGGGTCTCTTAAATTGTAACACGCTCATAGGTGATACCGTGTTCTATAGTTAAGTCTTGAGTATTCTTATAATTAACTTTTGATACATTCCTTAGTTGAAATATGAGACATGTAAACTTTGAATGAATATTCATTTCAGCTTTGTTCGGACTCAGCATTGTTCTGGACAGGCTCAGCATCCGTGCAACATGCTTGATTGGTGGAATGTTAATGTCCCTCGGTGGCATCCTCAGCTTCTTCGCCATGAACATTGAGTTCCTCATCTTCGCTCAAAGTATCCTCACAGGTGAGCCCATGCTGCAAGCCTGTACCTCCTCATAAAACATTTTGAAATATCCCTTTAAGAATTTAATACAATGTAAAACATAAGCAATTACCTATTCGTTCGAGATCAGCAGAGAAGATGATGTGTTAGTTTTCAAAAAGGGTCAAATTCGTAAATTACTCTCAAATTTCCTTTAGTGACATATCTTTTCATTTTACTTAACAGATATCTTCTGTCATGACCTGTCTCTTTCAGGAATGGGTTCCGCTTTGCTCTATGGTCCCGGGCTAGTCATCATTGGCTTGTATTTCGAGAAGAGGCGAGCCCTTGCTCAGGCAATGAGCAGTTGTGGAGTTAGCCTTGGGGGAATGATCGTTCCACAACTCATAAGAGTTCTATTGAACGAGTACGGACTAAGAGGCACACTTCTGATAAGTGGAGGTCTACTTATGGAAATTCTGATCTTTGTCCTTCTATACAGACCTGCGCCATGTAGGGAGAGTCACGAACCCCAAGACATTAACGGAATCGCTGCACTGGAGAAGTTTAAGGAACATATTAAAAGTGATTTTGAAATTGTGTCTATAGAGTCTATAAATGACAATGTTTCCCTTCCTCCTACACCAGTCACTCTGTCACGTATCGGCCACATTGGAAATGGTATCAGAAATGGCCACACTGAAACTGCCGCTGTGAACAGTCATCCCAATGCGAACACATCTGTTGCGAAAATGCTCATGAAGAAACAGGAACCATTCCGTATCCGAACAGAATCTGACCCAACAATTCAAATTCATAAACGTTTCCAACGTTCTCTTCGTGTTCCAAATGAACATCTTCCTGCCAATGGATCCGCCGACTGTGTCCAAATTTCGCAAAGTGAAACAAACATTTCCGACGAGAGCAGTTCTCCTGGGGATAATGAGGACCCACGGTCTCCAAACCGTCTTCGCCAGACAGACAAAGGACATGCCAACTATTTTGGAAGTTTCATTGACACACTGTCTCAGTCCAGTTATCTAAAATATGCCAGCAATGCCGACATTAATATGATCTCAACCCTCAGTCTCAATAACATCATAACTTGTTCTGAAAATGTGAAACAATATGAAGGAAATGTGTCATGTTTTACAAAGGTTAAAAAAATCACTAGATTTCTCTGTTTTGAGACGAGCTACCTTTTATTTGATTGCATTTTTCAACTTTTTCGGTGTCTGTGCAGTTTCACTCTATGCTGCCTACCTCCCAGCTGCCGTAGAGGAAGCTGGCTTTACAAATGTGGAATCTGCATTGCTGATTACAATATATGCTGGAGTCGATTGTTTTAGCAGATTTTTATCAGGAATTATAGTTGAATCTGGAAAAATCAAGGCTCAGCATTTACTTGCTATATTCATGATTGCTACAGGTGTGCTGTACCAGTTGACTAAATATTATACCTCCTTCAACCTTCTGATCATGTATGCTGTGCTCTTTGGAATGTTCTCTGGTGGCTTCCCTTCAATGAATCCTGTGGTGATGGTTGACCTTCTTGGCTTGGAGACCTTTCCTAAAGCTCTTGGATTTGTACAGATCTTCACTGGTGTGTCTCTTGCTGCAATACATCCTGTGCTGGGTGAGTATTTTCATTTTAGACCATTTATGTTGATGCATGTATACGATATGACACTTAATCAAGATTTGAGGTTCATAAAAGACGGGATTTTGTAATGATTGAGTTGTGGTTTGGAGCCACTACTTGTCAGGGACGGTGGCTTTGTTAAAAGAAAAATCTTGAGCTAAGTGCAACGTTTAAGTACCGTGGCATGTTTCATTATGATCTAGCTCTGTTTGAAGCTGATTCAGAAAGGTTCATGCAACGATTTATGACTGTGGATAAATATCTTAATTCACTTCCCAAAACACAGTGGAAGTATTTGACATCTCCAGCTGTAAAGGTTAGGCCTCCGTGCCTAGGATTCAGAGGGAGTCATCATGCTGAAGTATCTTCTAAAAAGCCACACAATAAACTGCGGTTATTATGTTGCTCTTTCAAGGTAATTATTCGGTGACAAAACAATACAAGCATGGGAAAACGTTTGCTCATCCATCGGGACAATTCACCATTGCACAAATCAGTCATTACCAAGGTTACAATTCAGTTCTTTGGCTTTGAACTCCAGCATCCTGTCTTTGTTCGATCTATCATCCAATATAAATGAAGCTTTCCACTCGGGTGATGATGTTATGGCAGCTGCCTTTTGAACTGCTAAGAGGAGGTATTCTACAAAAAAGAGGATGAAATGCCACCTCGATGACCAGACGTCAATGTCAGGGAGGAAGGGGATTAGGATATTAAGATACGTCATTTGAATCTCTTCAATTCAATATCTCGATGTGAAGTTCTGAACTTTTTAACAACCTTTCAAGCCACCAAGCTTATTACTATCAAGCTTGTTGGTAATGTTAATTAGTCTGGATGAAATTGAGACATTAGGACAGAATGTACTGTTTCTGGTGTCTAAGGAAGAGTGAGGTACATAAACTGTACCAAGATGTTCAGCTCGCTGCAGATCCAACTCGACCAGGGTCCCTGTATTAGGTATTAGTTGTATCGCACATGTTCCTTTGCAGATTGTTTTAGGTTTGAGTCTCCCCACAGAAGCCATAATATGTTATAATATTCATACTGTTAAATAAATCAAATATTGTTCAGTCAGTTATAAAACAAACTTAATTTCTCTCCTCTGAGATGAAATGCCAGATTAGGATCTATACTCTTGTGACAAAGTATGCCAGCATAATCCAGTTGTGATGACATTGCATCTGCAATGATTTTCATAATGTGCTTCTGACAAACAGTATCAGTCAGGAATATTTCATAGCACAACACTGAGCGAGGTTGTTCTACTTTTGTCACCCATCTCTGTATTTACCTGCAGGAACTTTGAGCTGAGTTTGTCACAGATCTTTGTATTCACATGCGGTAGCTTTGAGCTGCCTTTGTCACCCATCTCTGTATTTACTTGCAGGAGTTTGTGCTGCCTTTCTCACACATCTCTGTATTTACTTGCAGGAGTTTGTGCTACCTTTGTCACCCATCTCTGTATTTACTTGCAGGAATTTGTGCTGTCTTTGTCACCTATCTCTGTATTTACTTGCAGGCGTTTGTTCTGCCTTTCTCACACATCTCTGTATTTACTTGCAGGAGTTTGTGCTGCCTTTCTCACCCATCTCTGTATTTGCTTGCAGGCGTTTGTGCTACCTTTGTCACCCATCTCTGTATTTACTTGCAGGAGTTTGTTCTGCCTTTCTCACACATCTCTGTATTTACTTGCAGGAGTTTGTGCTGCCTTTGTCACCCATCTCTGTATTTACTTACAGGAGTTTGTTCTGCCTTTGTCACACATCTCTGTATTTACTTGCAGGAGTTTGTGCTGCCTTTGTCACCAATCTCTGCATTTACTTACAGGAGTTTGTGCTGCCTTTGTCACCCATCTCTGTATTTACTTGCAGGAGTTTGTTCTGCCTTTGTCATACATCTCTGTATTTACTTGCAGGAGTTTGTGCTGCCTTTGTCACCAATCTCTGCATTTACTTGCAGGAGTTTGTGCTGCCTTTGTCACCAATCTCTGCATTTATTTACAGGATTTTGTGCTGCCTTTGTCACCCATCTCTGCATTTACTTGCAGGACTTTGTGCTGCCTTTGTCACCCATCTCTGTATTTACTTGCAGGAGTTTGTTCTGCCTTTGTCACCCATCTCTGCATTTACTTAACAGGAGTTTGTGCTGCCTTTGTCACCTATCTCTGTATTTACTTGCAGGAGTTTGTTCTGCCTTTGTCACCCATATCTGTATTTACTTGCAGGAGTTTGTGCTGCCTTTTGTTACCCATCACTGTATTTACTTGCAGGAGCTTTAAGAGACATCACGGGAACATACCATGCATCCTCTCATCTACTTGGTGCTTGCGCCATAATATCGTCTGTCTTCCTGCTCTTCGAGCCTCTTGCTAGAAGATGGGACTCTTCCAGGAAAACCAACGCCAACGAGGAAGAGGTCAAAGCATTGAACAGTTAATCTGCTATCAAGGTCACATGAATACATGTAGCTGTGTATGTGTACACTAATGATGTTGTTTGATTGATTGATTGACTGATTGATAGTTGTTTAACGACGCGCTCAGCCATATATCCCAGCTATATGGCAGCGGTTTGTAAATAATCAAGTCTGGACCAGACAATCCAGTGATCAATAGCATGAACATCGGTCTACGCAATTAGGATACGATGACATGTGTCAACCAAGTCAGCGAGCCTGACCACCGGATCCCGTTGGTCGCCTCTTGCGACAAGCATGGGTTACTGGAGACCAATTTTTACCCGGATCTTCACGGGTCGATTCTGTATGAACGAATGCAGGTGTGGTATTGTATGTTATAAACATGAATAAGTTGTGTTTGTGAGTTCTGATGTTGACAATCAAATGAAGGTGTTTTATCGCCATTCCTTGAGAACATACAAGAGACTATTCATCTTCCATTTTATACATATACGACTTCCAAAGCCTTCACTGTCACGTATCGTCCTCTCCGTATGATTATTGTAACATCGTGTAACATTGACGTTAAGATACACTAATCAGACTTTCTTATCCTCACCAATGGCTCAGACAAACGAATATTGATGCGTTTTGATTACATTACACAAAGTTGGGATCAAACAATACCTCAGCTTTCATCAACGTTATTATCAAATCTGTGCCTGATGTGAATAAACATTTTTTCTCTCTAAATAACACGATTATAATTGCTGTAATCATAAAACTATTTTTCGTGTATCTGGAATATCAAACGTTCAGTACATCGATGGTTCTGTGCTTTTTTACACCATGCATCAAACATTCCTCAAGCCTTCAGGTTCAGTTCAGTTCTCCCCCAAATAGGGGCGATGGGGTAGCCTAGTGGTTTAAGCAGTCGCTCGTCACGCCCGAAGATCCGCTTTCTATTCCCCACATCAGTACAAGCTGGAAAAGTTTTGTGTTTTGTTGGTTTGGTTATTTGTTTGTTTTGTTTGTTTTTTTTGTTTTGTTTTTGTTTTTCTTATTCTAAGGGACGTGCCGAATAAGTTTTGGGTTATCAGCTATTGATTACAAATTCTGCTTTAGAACGGTCGACGTATTGTCATCTCATGGTATATTTCTATTAAGCGTGACTTTCTTTCAGCAATAAATCATGCTATTTTCAACAGCTAATGTGAAGAGTTTCATTAAACTGACATGCATGGATATCATCCATTCATTCCCATTCCAATCAATGTTTCATTGTGTATATAACTGATTTGTTTTGATACCACTACTTCAATCTACTATGTAAATGTCCACGATGGATAAATACGAAGATAATTCAAATAAATACTCCAGAAACAGTCTCAATTGTTGTCTTATATTCTAAAAATGCTTGATGTGAGAAGAAACGGGTTATTATTTTGCACATTTACACAACGGATCTTTGCTGCCTGTCTCCCTGATTCTTAGCTTTCCAGCTTCAACTTTTACCAATTTCAAGAAAGGTGAAAGAAGGTTTTCATGGGAGTATGGTATAGTATGGTAAACATTTAATATTAGGAATGTAAGTACAATTTGCTAAATGGCTTGACCTAACGAGTCTATCACGTTATATTTGTAGGAAGTTGATGCTTGTATGTCAGTGAAGATTCTGTAACACTAGACATGTGAACTACATCACGCCATCACAAAGGTATGACGTGACTTCAGTCCGCATGCCTTCGGATACGACAGGCGAGCCTCACCGCCCCATCCCGTTAGTCGCCTGTTGGGACAAGCATGGGTTATTGAAAATCAATTTTAACCCTGGGTCTCTTTGATTAAGACTTCGTAGCGCGTGACTCCTGACCCACTTGCTCATCCCACAAGCATGCTGGACGAGAAATAGAAGACTCATAGAAGAGCGCACGTCATTGGTTTACGCCCCTTGTTGGTGTATAGGGAATGTAACCAATGGGAACAGAGGAAAATTTACCAGTTAGTTCGCAGTGACAAATCATATCCAGTGACAAATGGTACACTTAATATATGGGGTGTTTGTTTCTAATAGACGTTAACTATCTCAAAAACACTAAAACATGATAACCGTTTTTTCACACAATGTCAAGTGAAATTATTTCGTCGCAAGAGTTTTGTCTCTCACGCACGATACATAAAAAGTTAACTTTGTATCTGGAATGTGAGCATAATTATAATACGTCATAAGGTCAGAGATTAGTCAGTCTGACAGTTACAACCTATAAAGTTCAAACTCAACCCAGGTCCAGACAGCTGCGTACCTTTTCACTCTCCGTGATTCACTAGCTCAACCAAGTGACATTGGTAAGGGGAAATTACTCTAGTCTTATAACGTGCAATCTCCCTACAGCGACAAGACGGTCGCTGAGCTCCGTATACTGAGATTATGTCAGTTCTTCGGGAACAGTTTGACCTATCATACTGTGTCAAAATGGAAACTCAGCGAAAATCAACCAGCCTGAAATGTCTAGTGTTTTCAATCAACACAGATATGGAAACTTATTCCACAAGCTGAGGATAGGTACACTACATTATTATTTTGAATCTGATAGCTCTTGTTTTCCTGTTATCGTTACACGACTTTTTCAGTTTCCATATGGAGAAAGCTGGCCCAATATACAATAAGAGGGGAGGTCATATTTGTTTGTAATGAGTGAAAGTAGTACTTCCCAAGCATTCCAGCATTCTTATTTACCGGCAAATGATCCCTAAATGGACACCGTTTATATCAACTTAATAATCACACGTAAGCAGAGAACCTTTAAAACCTGCAATTTGGACACGATCACGTGCATCAAGCAAGTCAGCGAGCCTGACCACCCGATCCCGTTAGTTGCCGCTTATGACAAGCCTGGATTACTGAAGATCAATTCTGACACGGATCTTCACTGGTCGCTTCCATATGTTGCCATCACTTACTTTCAGTGATCCCACTGGAATACTATTCGACAGTGTTTTGCCTTCCATGCCCATTGTCATTTGTTTCGGATCGATCATTCTGTGGCGTCGACATTTAAGATATACATATATGAAATGCAGTCAACTACAATCGACGAAGCCCAATACTATGTGGATATATACTGAAACTTAACACTTGGAGAAATTAATTATATAATATTATATTCGGTTATTATAGTGATCCTATCACTATTCACTCTGCAGGTCGCACCAAGCGCACCTTAATGCATAATACTGTTTTAGTGCACGCTCATCCACTTGCAGCACACTTTGTCATATATGGGTATGTTTGTGACATAAACGCATGTCAAGTTTCCTTTTATGCAGTATATTTACTCAATATATTCTCACAAACTTTGCTGCTGGGATGTTAGACGATATTTGTAGTCTGGAGGGGTGGTATCGCCTTTCTTTTTAGGACTAAATCTAGACACAAAATATACCAAAAGCATTGCTATTTAGCGGCGGAAGACCGTCCTGAACGAGATGAGATAAAACAGAAACTTACCCCTGTATAAGCTGTGCGATCGGAAAGATTGTCTGCCCACGTTTCAGGATCTGAGCAACCATGCTGCTCTTTGAATCACGTCATAATACGCTCACACGAACCGGAGATGTAATTGGTGTCGTGACATTTGACTGCCCTGAATTAGATAATTGATCACCATTGTGGGCAATCTCCATACCATTCTTCTGTCTACTGTGGCTAAACATCATCGCGATCATCAATAAACATTCTGACATGGAAATGCAACACAACCTTTAGTCACTGCCCTGAACTCCGGCCTGACACTGTCGGTATTAATGTCTCTATTCACAAGAGTTGTTGCGTTTCTATCACACCAAGACATAAATTGCAGCTTGTTGTTTCAGTGCACAGGTTTCTGAATATCGATGCAATTATTTTCATTATTATTTTCATCGGGATATCAATAATTGAACATTGCCAATTTTTTTTAAAATGGTCAAATGTAACATATGTTAAAGTTGTGATGACAATTTCTTTGTAAAGCACAAATTGTAGTACGTTTATGGGTTGAGTCCCTTCCGAGATTCGAACCCACACTTTTGGGTTCAGTCCCATCCGAGATTCGAACCCACACCCTCAGAGTCAGACTTCCCAAAAACTGGAAGTCGGACAACTGGTAGCCTAGACTGCGGACTTTGTGTACCCCTCTGAGAAGTGTAAATTGGCATGGCTCCCACGGCCGAAAGCCATGATTACATAATGTCATTTTTAGAAAGCCTTTCAAATGTAAAATATGTTATATTTGGGATGACACTTTCTTCAATAATTTGTGATGAGGAGAACGGTTCACTCCCATTTGCCAGACGTCCCATTTGTCAGACGGCCCAATCATCAGACAGACCAGTCAAGTGTGACCAGTGTAACTGCCTGGACTTACCCACTAATTAATGAGCTGCTCCAAACTGTGAACAGAGTAGGCTACTTCCCTGCTCTCAAGTTCGATAAGTGATACAGATTAACCAGATTATGATTGTGTTTGTAAGTTGCTTTTAATCAGTGTGACGGGTTGCCTGTGTTGCAGTAACGACATTTGGAGTAGTTTGTACAACTATATGGAATACAGGAAGTACGTGAGGCTCAGTAAAGATTAATCAATAAGGTTTAAACTGAATTTGTTTTGCATTATTTTATTACTTAAATGGATTGAACCTCTCCAAAACATAAGTATAATCTCACAAGTACTATATAACATGAACACTAAAGTCAGTAAGATATGGCTGCAATGGCTGGTACACCCAAAGTTGAAGTCATTAAGTCTCAGAGAGGAACACCACAAGTACTTCTTGATGGCTTCACCTACTCGAAGAAAAGAACCAGCGGCCAGACCACACACTGGAGATGTATCATCAAGTCATGCCAAGTATGCCAAGACTTCAATGACTACAGGGTGACGACATGGGTTGACGACGACAATTTCGAGGGCTCTCATGCTCGTGTGAACAGAAGTCTCCCACATCAGCACCCAAACCTGTACCAATTTGCGGGCCTGATCCAAGGCATAGAGGCGCTACAATAACGCAGATTGACTTAGGTGCCGCTCCCCCATCCAGGAAGAAGGTGTACATAGAGTCTGAGGGGAGACTGCTCCGGTTGAAAGAGAAGCTGACAAGTGGCCAGAAGACATCTGTTCAATTCCACATAACATGTCCGGATCAAGACTTACTATCGTTTTAAGCAACATAAAGACGAAACTCATGATCTGTTTGTTTGTTTGTTGTTTGTTTAACGCCGCTAGTTTAAAACTACAAGAAAATGAGAAGCAAGTGTTCCTGAAGACCACTTCTATCCCGGATCTTCATGGGTGGACGAAATGATGGTCATGTCAGGAGATCTCACAGTATATATTTTGTTTGTTTGTTTGTGTGTCAGGAGATCTCACAGTATATATTTTGTTTGTTTGTATGTGTGTTGTTTAACGCCACACTCAGCAACAATCCAGCTTTATGACAGTCTGGTCCAGATAATCCAGTGATTAACATCATGAGCATCGATCTACGCAATTGGGATACGATGACAACTGTTAACCAAGTCTGACCACCCGGATCTTCACGGGTTCACAGTATATGAAAATAGTGATGTCCGTTTGAGGTGAAATGGTAAGGAGTATAATGAAATATATGCATTGTTTTGGAATATACTTTATCAGTAAAGTATAAATTCTAGAGCATACTTTGGGCTGAGTCCTGCCTCAGGGTGAATCGCCAATCGCCAGCACACAAAGTCAGTGATTTAGGTCAGTCATGACTGTGACCTTATCCTCTCCAAAGCCTTGTGATGTAGTTACACTATTGGGATGTCTCTCATGAAATATCGCTGATATCACCCAAGCTATATGTCTTCTGCGAAAAGGTGGCGTCAGCTGATGTAATTCCCCGCGCAAACATTATTATGACAGTCGATAAAACTGCCCAATCAGGGCACTCAAGATTCACACCACATTTTGTCGAGAAAGCTTCTGGCCGAAGGGAGGTAACTCTGTGAGGGTAGCCTCGACTGTCGCAATTCTCTCAGTCTGAGATTAAAGTACGTAGACACACTGTTAGAACATAATAGAATTATTTTGCAGAAATGTGCTAATGTTTATTTACAACTTATATGCGAACAAAAGTCGAACATTTAGCTGGCGAGTGACTGAGTGAGTGAGTGAGAGTGAGAGAAAGCTGGCAGGGTGATGCGCTTTACACATCTTCCAATCCGATCACGGCGAGGGAGAGATGAAATGTACTTCACATGTTGCATCCCTTTTTAAAGGAATAGAAGCAGGGACGTATTCGTGACGAGCTGACGCATAAACAAGTTTGCCATCCGTTGAGGATGTACAGGAGAAAATGTCTGAATACTTTTTGCTGGGAATTTCA